GGCCCTCCGTCTGGTCCTCCCCCTGATTCCCGGCAGAGCCTGGGCCCGCCGGTGCAGACCTGAGGTGGCTCCCCTCAGCGCTTGTGCTGTCTACCTACCCGAAGCCGGCCTCCCAAAGATGGCGCTCAGCTCCCTCAGGCTTCTCAGGGGGAAGTCAGTGGGCGGAACTTCCGGACTGGCTCTCTGGGGTCCCTGCGGAGAGCAGGGACAGAGAGCGGATCTAGGGGCCTGGAAGTCCTGTCCCTGTTTCCTCCTCCATCTGACAACACCAGGGCCCCCGCCCTCTGCGGACTTCAGTCTGTGTCCCTCAGACCTAGGCTCTAACTCCCTGGATTTCCCAGGCAGGTGGAGGCATATGCTCGGCCGAGAGCCCCACCCAGGGTCCCTAGAGCTGACAGGAGCGCCTGGAGATGGATGCTGTAGTGTCCTCTGTGCTGAAGCCAGTGGACCCCAAAGTCCTCAACCACGAGGGCCTCACACCCCTTGCAGAGATGCTGCAGTACCACGACCGATGCTGGAGGGGCGCTGTTGTGCCCAGGACGTGGGGGAGGGGTAGAGAAGCACCCCTTACTGTGGGGTTTCTTCACCAGCTCAGATGATCCTGTGGGAACTGTGGGTTCTAAAAGTTAGCTGCTACTAAAGATGCTGAGCAGCAGCAGGGATTTGGGGACGTGTGGAATTGTGGTTGTCTGTCTGCAGTTCCCTTGTCCACTGCAGGTGTTTTCACTTTCATTCCTCATTCTTAGTTATACATTCTACATCGCTATCTAGCTTGTGTGCATTACTTCAATACATAAATATAGGCTACATGTGCTAATATACCCACAGATGTATGTGTCCTGTACCTAAATATGTGTGTATATGCATATATATGCTTAGAACGTATGCATTTATATGTATATTTCTATATGATATACTATCCAATGTATTTTATGAGAGAATATCTACTCTTAACATACATGACTTATTCTGCTTCTCGCTATTCTAATTAGTCCGTTCTTAATATGCTATTAAGATAATAATTTTTGAAATCCAGCACCAACCCACCAAGATGGTTGTCAGGTGGTTATTAGCATAGACTCTGAATAATATACCTCAACTGTCCCAGCTTTCCCAAGGCAGTGGTATTCCCCCAAGCTTTCTGGCATTTGTGGTCTGAATGCCCCACATTTGCGCCAAGATACAGGGCATAAATTTAAAATCCTTCTTCATACCTTCGCTGTCATCCGTGTCATACAGCCTACAGCCCCTCCCAACTTCCCTACTCTCCCTACTCCCACCCCAAACACAAGTGCCAGCTCATCACAAATTTCAGTCTCCCTTAGGACCTGTTCAGATTTTGTTGTTCAGATACTGTGGTTCATATTGTGTTTGTTTTAAATATCAATTTTTTTACAAAGCTTTTAGATG